TTGAGTGTAAATTGCTTTAGAAATCAGAAAAACTTTTTAAAAAGAAAGAAACTTAAGAGTGATAGAAAAGCAAAAATATTGGTATTAAACATAACAATTAAAAAATCTTAAAATTCTTACATGTAAGACTTAATATTTATATTCTTCTACACCTATTTTATTAACACTTGCTAGAGTATCTGTTACATTTATCAGAATAGCTCTTTTTCTGGAAATGAGTTCATTATTTAATATAACCTTAATCTCTTAAATTCACACATAAAACTAGAGTACCTTAAAAATTTTACATACACACATCCAGATTTGCAGAATGCTGTGCAAATACCAACTAATTTTTGTATACTAAGAACTTAATATGTTTCATATTGAAACTCAGAGTTAACTTGTCAGTTTGCTGAATCATCTTCTAGTAACTTTGTCTCTTGGTAGATATTGAATATTTTTTACAAAAGTGATGCTTTTTATAAGGTTATGTCAGCCTTAATCAGAGTAGTGACATAAAGGAAATAACATTTTTTATTCTTTCTAAGATGAAAGAATAGGCAGAGTTAATGACGAAATGTGTGTGGAGGTATCGGGGGAGGTTTCTAACCATAGAACTGGTCTAATTTGATTATGCATAGTTGGTACTTTCCATTCATACTTGTTTCTTTGGCCTTTACGTTATTGATTATTATCTCTTGGAAATTCCACCAAATATTTGGTGATTTTTCCATAAGGATGGATGTGAATGGTTTGGCAGCTTAGCCATTAAGCTTTATCTTGGATTCAGGCATTGACAACCCTATTTTTAGAATGGAGGATGAGTAGTTGTTGGTGAGAGGGGAATTATTCTGGGCTGAGAAGCTGCTACTAAGCCTTAGAAGGTTTAATCACTCAATAATTCCAGAGGCAGGCCTTCTTACCATTTCCATTTGGTAATGAGAAAACAGGCTCTAAGACTTGCTCAAGTTTTGCACAGCTTGTCAGTATTCAAACTGGAGTGGCAACCCAGGTTGGTGTGTTTCTGAAACCAGACTCTGCCATCAGCCTGTCCTTCCTGCACTCAGGATGGTAAACAAGGGACATGGTGTTATTTATGCAGTATTTAGACTCTGAATGGTCTCCACTGTGGGGCGATTCTTCCTCCACTGGGCACTTAAAGTTGTAATCAGACGTGTGAATGCTAGGTTGTAGCAGGATCAAAGTTCAATGCAGATCTTAGTTCCACTGGGTCACAGTCAATGTAAAGAAGGGGTCTGGAGTTAGGAGACTGTCACTTCATCTCTCCATTTCCCTAAAGTAAACTCATATGGGCAGCCACAGACACACGCAAACACATACACACACCTATGCCTCAGTGACACATGTTAGTGAGTGCTGGCCATGTGCTAGGCTTCGTGCTGGGTTTTAGTGATACAGTGAAGAGCAAAAGAGCAAAACAGACTTAGTGCCTAGAACTATGAAACCTACGTTCTGAAGGAGGAAGATGGATTTTTAAAGGTTCAACCCCTAAATGAAGATCTCATTACAATTCAGGAGCATTCTGATGTGAAAACACACACTGTCATGTGTGTCCGTGTGAAGAGACCACCAAACAGGCTTTGTGTGAGCAATAAAGCTTTTTAATCACCTGGGTGCAGGCGGGCTGAGTCCGAAAAGAGAGTCAGCGAAGGGAGATAAGGGTGGGGCCGTTTTATAGGATTGGGGTAGATAAAGGAAAATTCCAGTCAAAGGGGGGTTGTTCTCTGGCGGGCAGGAGTGGGAGTCACAAGGTGCTCAGTGGGGGAGCTTTTTGAGCCAGGATGAGCCCGGAAAAGGACTTTCACAAAGTAATGTCATCACTTAAGGCAAGGACCGGCCATTTTCACTTCTTTTGTGGTGCAATGTCATCGGTTAAGGCAGGGCAGGGCATTTTCACTTCTTTTGTGATTCTTCAGTTACTTCAGGCCATCTGGGCATATACCTGCAAGTCACACGGGATGCGATGGCTTGGCTTGGGCTCAGAGGCCTGACACACACATACTCTCTTACATAGGCAGAACTGTCATACATAGCTCAGCATGTCACAGATTGTTTATTCACAGAATGGTAATATTTGTAGCAGTACTATTGTTTTCAACTTTGACCTTGGAAGCAGGATTTAGTAGACCAGGCCTTTTTCCAGAAGCAAAACTTCATTGCCTTGAAATTTTATTATTATTATTTTCGAGATGGAGTCTTGCTCTGTCTCTCAGGTTGGAGTGCAGTGGTGCCATCTCGGCTCACTGCAAGCTCCGCCTCCCAGGTTCACGCCATTCTCCTGCCTCAGCCTCCTGAGTAGTTGAGACTACAGGCACCCGCCACCACGCCCGGCTAATTTTTTGTATTTTTCACTGGAGACGGGGTTTCACCATGTTAGCCAGGATGGTCTCGATCTCCTGACCTCGTGATCCGCCTGCCTCGGCCTCCCAAAGTGCTGGGATTACAGGCGTGGGCCCCCATGCCTAGCCTAATTTTATTAATTTTATATGGCTGAAAGTCCTGAGAATTGGTTACTAGATTAAGGAATATAAAAATCTTCTAGGTTGGTTTTTAGAAAATCTGTGTGCCAGAAGATTTTTAAACCTTCATAAGATAGGTATGCTTTTGTTTGAAAGCTTTGACTGGATCTGTTTTATTCTGTTTTCCAGAGAAGCCGTTTGAAGCAGAATCCAAACCATGAATTGTAGAGAATTACCCTTGACTCTTTGGGTGCTTATATTTGTAAGCACTGCAGGTAAGTGATTATACATATTCACAAACGTATTTCATTAGTAATCGAGGAAGAATGTCAAAGTTTTTTTTTTATATGGTGGCTACTGAAGATGCTGAATTTATTCAGAAAAGAAAATATTCTGCAGTCTGAGTTTATGTAGTGAGAGCAGAGTGAACAACTTACATCTTGAAATAAATTACGTTTGTCTGAGGTGGAAATTTATTTCATGTTGTTTGAAACTGAGGAGGTGGCAGCCATCTTTATTATTGGGTTTTAGGAAGTTTGAAACACATTGTCTCCTTCGTGAGAGGGAGGCAAAGATTCATCTCATTATTTAGGTAATAATGAGAAAAGTAAATGACAAATAATTAGACAGGTTTCAAAAATTAGAGTGAGACGAAATATACAAAAAGAGACTGGCTAGACCAGGGAGCTCGAGTAGGCTTCATAGTAGATGTCAAATACCAATTTTAATTTATTAGCAGTGATTGCCTAGAGTTTTTTTTTTTTTTTTAATTGAGAAGGGTTCTGAGACTTCAATTTATTAGCAGTGATTGCCTAGAGTTTTTTTGTTTTGTTTTGTTTTAATTGAGAAGGGTTCTGAGACTCAATCCATGATTGATTAGCAAGGCATTCCTTAGACTTTGGGGAAGAAAGTGGGAGCACAAATATTAATTTGCCTTGATCTATTACCTAGGAGAGGGAAACACATGGGCCCATATTCCCTGCTCTGATAATTACTGCTGAAGAGATAGCAGAATTAAGCTTTTGGTACTTTCAAATAACACAGGTCCAATCTCAGGGTATATTTACTTATGTGGATCCATTTATTATTGCGATCCCTGCAATACAACCCTACCCAGATGGTAAAAGAATGAGGTAGAGATCTTTGTGTTTTTTTTTTTTTAATGTAATGATGTGTCAGAAACAAGTGAGAGGAAAAACAAGGTGCAGGAAAATGTGTCATGAGGCCCATGTCCTGTGGACACACACTAACAGCCTTGCTCCTCATTATAACGAGAGCATGTTTCAGGCACAGAAACGGTCATGCAGCCAGTTGTGCAAAGTTGCCAAGCTCCCAGCTGCCTGCCCTGGAGAGCACTTCTCATGAATGTTTCACTCTAGGGAGACATGACAATGTTCTACATAGAGGATTCACTGAACCTAGTTGAGTTTAAGTGACAAAATCCTACAATTGTCCAAAACCAAGACAGTTTCAAACACAGACTTTATTCCAAATGGCATTGGTTGTTGGCCCTGCTGGGTTCTTATACTGTGTTTATGGAACAATAGGAGTGCCTGTTTTGGCACTTGGAACTCTACACACCTTGAACTCCACTTATTTATCCCATCAAGGACCATTTCCAACAAGTATTATGGTAATCGACAAAGCCTCTAATGGTAAACCATGATTAGATATCCAAAGCTTCTAGCTGCCTGAGGAGGGGGATGGTGTGGACTTTCAACTGTCAACTTCCCACCTCTGGAGAGTGTGTAGTTCACATTAAGTTTCTTCAAATGATAATACTTCCAGAGAGCACATGTCCATCCAAACACAGTCATATGATGTGTTTATAGAAGCTTTTTAAGACAAGCGAAAACCTGGAAACCTGGAAATAACCCAATATCCAACAGACATTTGTTTAATAAACCAAATCCCCAACATGTATCCCTTTATAAAATGGATAAATTGCCAAATGGTAACACAATTAGATACTACATTACAATGAGAAAAGAACACATCACTGTTATAGCATGAATGCATTTGTAACATAATCATGTCAAAATAACCCAGGCGTAAAGGAGCACATATTGTATGGTCTATGCACTTTATTATATTAACTCTAAAACAGGAAAATAAATGAACTGTTAATGACTCACCAGGGTTTTGCATGTAAATTGAAGCTGACACCCATATGTACACATGTATCACACCTTCTATGTTGAAGTATTAGTATAAAATAGAGATTGTATTAAAACCGGAAAACATGAAGTTGGGGCTCCTTAACTCTTGTGTTTTGAGGTAGATTTTACATCCATGTTTTCAAAGAATGTATATTAGTCCATTCTCATGCTGCTGATAAAGGCATACCTGAGACTGGGTAATTTATAAAGGAAAGAGGTTTTATTGATTGATTCACCATTCTGTATGGCTGGGGAGGCCTCAGGAAACTTACAATCGTAGTGGAAGGGAAAGAAAGCATGTCCTTCTTCACATAGTGGCATCAAGGAGAAGGCTGAGCAAAAAGGGGAAAAGCCCCTTATAATAACATCAGATCTTATGAGAACTCACTCCCAGGAGAACAACATGAGGGTAATCACCCCCATGATTAAATTACCTTCCACCAGGTCCCTCCTATGACACATGGGGCTTATGGGAACTGCAACTCAGGATGATCTGGATGGGAATACAGCCAAATCACATCATTCTACCCCTGGCCTCTCCCAAATCTTATGTCCTCACATTTCAAAACAAAATAATGCCCTTCCAACAGTCCCCCAAAGTCTTCACTCATTCCAGCATTAACTCAAAAATCCAAGTCCAAAGTCTCATCTGAGTCAAGGCAAGTCCCTTCCCCCTATAAGTCAGTAAAATCAAGAGCAATTTAGTTACTTCCTAGATACAATGGGAGTACAGGCATTGAGTAAATACACCCCTTCCAAATGGGAGAAATTGCCTAAAACAAAGGGGCTACTAGCCCCATGCAAGTTCTAAATTTAATAGGACAGTCATTAAATCTTAAAGTTCCAAAATAATCTCCTTCAACTCCATGTCTCACATCCAGGTCATTCTGCTGCAAGAGGTAGAATCCCATGGCTTTTGGCAGCTTTGCTCCTGTGACTTTGCAGGATACATCTCCCCTCCTGGCTTCTTTCATGGGCTGGTGTTGAGTTTCTGGGCTTTCTCAAGTGCATGGTGCAAGCTGTCAGTGAATCTATCATCCTGGGACCTGGAGGATGGTGGCCCTCTTCTCTTAACTCTACTAGCTGTAGAGCACCCCAATGGGGACTCTGTATGGGAGCCCCAACACCACATTTCCCTTCCACACTACCATGGCAAAAGTTCTCCATCAAGGTTCCACCCCTGCAGCAAACTTTTGCCTGGACATCCAGCGCTTCCATACGTCCTCTGATATCTAGGTGTAGGTTCTCAAACCTCAATTCTTGACTTCTGTGCACCTGCAGGCTCAACACCATGTGGAAGCTGCCAAGGTTTGGGGTTTGCATCCACTGAAACCACAGCCTGACCTGGTATCTTGGCCTGTTTTAGCAATGGCTGGAAGGCTAGGATGCAGGGCACCAAGTACATAGTCTGCACACAGAAGAGGGCCCTGGGCCCATCCCAGGAAACCATTTTTTCCTATTAGGCCTCTGGGCCTGTGATGGGAGGGGCTGCCGTGAAGATCTCTGACATGCCCTAGAGGCATTTTCCCCATTGTCTTGGCAATTAACATTTGGGTCCTAACTTCTTATGCAAATTTCTGCAACCGGCTTTAATTGCTCCCCAGAACATGGGTTTTTCTCTCCTACTATATCCTCAGGCTGTGAATTTTCCAAACTCTTATGCTCTGTCACGTCGTGAATGCTTTGCTCTTTAGAAATTTCTTCTCCCAGGTCATCATCTCTCAAGTTCAAGGTTCCACATATCTCCAGGACAAGGGCAAAATGCAACTAATCTCTTTGCTAAAACCTAACAAGAGTCACCTTTGCTCCAGCTCCCAAAAAGTTCCTCATCTCCATCTGAGACCACCTCAGCCTGAATTTTATTGTCCATAACATTATCAACATTTTGGTCAAAGCCATTTAACAAGTCTCTAGGAAGTTCCAAACTTTTCCATATTTTCATCTTCTTCTGAACCCTTGAAACTGTTCCAACCTCTGTCTGTATGCAGTTCCAAAGTCACTTCCACATTTTGGGTATCTTTACAGCAGCACCCCACTCCTGGTACCAATTTACTGTATGAGTCCATTCTCACACTGCTAATAAAGGCATACCTGAGACCGGGTGATTTATAAAGGAGAGAGCTTTAATGGACTCAGTTTTGCAGGTCTGGGGAGGCCTCAGAAGACTTACAAAAGGGGGAAAAGTCCCTTGTAAAGCCATCAGATCTCATGAGAACTCCCTCACTATCATGAGCACGGCATGCAGGAGACTGCCCCCATGATTAAATTCAAGATGAGGTTTGGGTGGGGACACAGCCAAACCATATCAGAACACTTCTATCACATCACTTCCTCTTTATGTTGTAGTTAACAATTTTGAGTTAAAACCAGACTGCTGCTTTGAGAAACAAACCCTATAGTCAGGGCATATAGAGAGGGCATTCTGTCCATGTCCTAAGGGAAATGTTTCATTCAATTTAAATATTCTCATCCTCAAAATGTGGTAAAAGTGCATCCAAGAGTCATGGGAGGATAGATTATGAGAAAGACCGATTAATGCTGACCTTGAAGTACGAGAAGTGCAGAAAGAGGGAAAGGAACACCTATCCTGTGTAGATGAGGGTCAGATATATTTCCAAAGCCAGAGAATCTGGGTCAATTGAGAAGGAGGGAATGTGACAGATATGCAAATTTGGATTGATATTATATTAATGAATTATTGATTATCCACATGGTGACCTACAGCAATAATAAATGTACACACACTGTAAGTTACATAGGCACATCTTTAACCATCTCCACACTTGCCAGGGAATGTTAGATAGGCAGGGTGAATGCACAGTGAGTGAGATTTCTGATGGTGCAGAGGAAGAATGCCAAGGTTGCTAAGTTTTTGTTTCTTTTCCACTGAGACTCCTCAGCTGGGTATGTTTTGGGGTAGGTATGGCAGCACTGTGACTTCTGTGGCTTTCCTTTGAAGAAGTTGTAATGTGTAATATTTTCTTCTAAGAGATGACACAATTATCTGTCTTCTAGCTATGGTTGGCTAAGTTCTGATACCTTCCTGTTGGGGAGAAACTGTCAGAAGTTGTGTTTTCATCTATATTCTGAAAGTGCCTCATCCTTTCTAGTGTTGAAAAGATTGTTGCAAAAATAAAGGAACCCACAGGAAAGTGACACTGAGATTTCTCAGGACTTTCTTACTAATCTTGCTTTTTCACCTAATGCATGAGAAGACAAAAAAGTTACCTTTGTCATTTTGGTTTTTGTTTTTATGTCTTTTACTTTACTAATCTTTTGAAGAATCTTGTACTTCACGTCCCCACATTACTGTGGTTGAAGGGGAACCTTTCTATCTGAAATATTGTTCGTGTTCACCTGCACATGAGATTGAAACAATCACCAAAAGCTGGTACAAAAGCAGTGGATCACAGGAACGTGTGGAGCTGAATCCAAGGAGTTCATCGAGAATTGCTTTGCATGGTTGTGTTTTGGAGTTTTGGCCAGTTGAGTTGAATGACACAGGATCTTACTCTTTCCAAATGGAGTGAGTAACCCTTTCTTTTTAAAATGTATTTTATAGCCCTCTTGTCCTTTGTTCAGCAACTCAAATATGCACTAATCTTAAAGGTCAGATAATCAGCACATCTTTTTCTTTTCTACTCTTCCTACAACATGAAATACGTTGTTCATTACAGAACAAAATACATTTATTTCTCTCTGCTTATTTTCTTAGTGACCTTAAAGAAAGGAGATTACCTTAATAGGGTTTCCTTTTAGGGGATTCTTACCAATGGTAAGTAATGATTGCATGAAAGTCAGTTTTAAAATTCAGCTGCTCCTGTTGTCTACATGCCCCCAATCAAATGAAATCAGCGGTTCGGACTTCACGATAATATTAATGTGTTGTGAAGGGGGCAGTGTCAGCTTCCTGGGTGGCATCCTTGGTGGGGAGCAGGGGTGGGGTTGATGCAGACACACACTAGTCCAGTCTGCAGGGGCTCATGGGGAACCTGGTGGCAGTGCTAGTGGAGGATGTGTGTTTCCAGCAGCCAATTGCAACCCACAGCTGGGGGCAGTGAGAAAGGGCAACACAGAAGGGCTTTGCATTTTACTCATGCGGTGGCCCTGGATTGTGCCAGGATACTCATAATTATGTTGGATAACTTCCATTAAATGAGCATAGCCAACTGGAAGCATCACCCACACTTACTGAACATGTTTCTTTTTAGATGTACTTACTTACCTACCTACATGTGTAGGTATTTTTATAGAGACTTGAGACTGACCTGTAGGAAATAGCTCACAGCCAGCTGAAGGTGATGGTGTGCAGATTTCATATGTAGCAGATTTCTTTTGGAGGCACTTCTAGAGTGAGTCCTGATCATTATCAACCGTGCCGTTGAGAGCAGAGTGAGCTATCACTGTGAAACTTTGGTAGTGCTCCTGTGGTTTTGCACCAAATTAGGTCACTTTTGTTTGTTTTTATACATAGGAACTCCCAGGCATGAGAAAAAAATTAAGTAACTCTTTTGATAAAAACCAATACATCTTTAGGTGACCTTTAAAGAGGGATAATTACAGAAATGGGTCACAACTGAGATTTTTCATAACAAGCTAAGGAAGAATGAATACTCACAAATGGGGTAAAGGAAACAGATTAACAAACACTGCCCCCCACAAACTTCTGACTCCTGATTGAATGAAGGCACGATTTAAAGGAATCAAGTATTCTGGACAGGGCTGAGAGAACATGTTGAGAGGAACAGCCAGGCATCCATGATCATCAGTTGGAGATAACAGAAGCAAATGGCATTGGCCATCTTTCTGATATGGGGAGTAGAGAATACAGCCTGGCTTAGGAAGCAACAATGGAAGCAAAAGATCGAGGCAGGACATCAGAGACGTGTGGAGAGACAGGGTAGCAGACAGGAGATGCTAAGAAAAACGAGGTGTCCCAGAGTGGATATTGGAGACTGATCACTATGAGAGTAAAGTGATGAGGAGAGAAGCAGCTTTGACAATGGCCTTGAAAATAAATGGGATTCTACATGAAAGCAAGTTGTTTTAGACACCCAGGAGCATGAAAGATATAGACATCTTCAAATATAGCATAATTAGTAAGCAGTATTTACTGCAGATTGTGTGTGCGTGCACACACATATGTGTTGTAACTTAGGTGTGTAACCCTTTGTAGTTTGATGTGGGATCTATCAGTGAACAGACTTTACACCTGAAATTTTACCATTAGAACAGTAATTCTTTAGTTTTTAGGAGTCCATTGCTAATAATCAAATGCCACTGAGGACTGATCATTTAATCCTGCACTGAAAATCACTGTATCCCACCAAATTTTAAGAAAGAAATCAACTAAGAAGGAAGGGGATACAAAAGGGAGCGTTTTTCAGTGATAGAGATGAAGAAATGAAGGTAGAGAGAAATGTACACATGGAAATCTAATAAACCAATCCTAGACTGACAGACAGTGAGTTCAGCTTGGTGAGCAGCCTCAGAAGTGGGGACTGGTGCTTATCCCCTGGTGTGTGTGGACAAAAATGAGTGGTTTTCATAACCAGGATGGGCTGGGCCTGTAGCAGGAAAGTGTGGTCACAGCTTTGGGTCAGTGGGCCTCCGTGTTAACACCAGCCTTGGAGCTCCTGGATGGCAGGTGCAGTGTGTTGGTGATTGTGTTCGCAGCGCAGCGTCCTGCACATGGAGTGTCATCAGTCCTCTCACATTTGTTGAGTGTTAGGAATGGAGGATTACAGAGGTAGAGAACAATGTATTCTGAACAAATGGGGATATTCCTTTTAAGCAACAAGTCAGAGAGATCTAGAAATCTCTATCTCTCCAGTTCACTGAGGCCGAAGCTGGGGAGACGTTACAAAAACACACTTGAGAAAAGGTGCTGCCAATGGGATTCTGAATCCATTTCAAGGGCCAGGTAGCTCTATCATGTCCCATGGCCACGGACGCACTGCCTGTAACCATGACAACAGCCTACCACATTCTCTAGTCATGGCCAATCTTTTATAAATTCATGCCCAAAGTGAAGGGGCCAGATTCATTGGATTGTGAAAGCGTAGAATTGTGCAAAGCACTTCTGGCCTTTGGGGTCAAATAGATATGCATTTGCATCCTGGCCCCATCTTGTAGCAAGTGTGTGACCTGAGTGAGTTGTTTAACCTGTCTGAGATTTAGCATTCTCATCTGAGCCTAAGGAAAACAGTCATCTCCCTTGCACATACATAGTCTGATACCTGGAACTCAGTAAGTGCTAGTCTTTTCTTCCTTCTATCCTATTGTAGACCTAAAGGGGAACTGGAAGAGCCTAAGGTGGGCACAAATGTGTCAGGCATAGAAGATAACTTAACAACACGTGTCTGCTATATTTAGCAAATGAATCTATACATCACAGGTGCAGTGGAAGAAACATCAAATTTGAAACATTTTCTCTTTAAAAACTTCATTTAAAAAATACTGTATTTTTTTCCAATTCTAGATCACCAATTTTTTTTTTTTTTTTTTTTTTTGAGATGGAATTTCACTCTTGTTACTCCGGCTGGAGTGCAATGGCGTGATCTCCACTCACTGCATCCTCCACCTCCTGCCTCAGCCTCCCAAGTAGCTGGGATTACAGGCACCCGCCACCACACCCAGCTAATTTTTGTATTTTTAGTAGAGACAGGCTACACGTTGGCCAGGCTGGTCTCAAACTCCTGACTCAGGTGATCCACCTGCCTTGGCCTCCCAAAGTGCTGGGATTACAGGTGTGAGCCACTGCACCTGGTCTAGTGATACTCCTGATCATTAATTTCTGATGAGGAGTAACAACTACTGTAAAATCTATTCATACTCACCTTTGGTCAGTGAGGCATTTAAAGAGCTAATTCAATTACACTGAGGGCAACAACTCCAGACTTTGCTTTATTCAACAGTAAGAGAATGGGACGGGAACAAATTGCCTTGAGAAACATAAAACCTAATGCATATACACACACATTTAGAAAACAACATCAGGAATTTATAGACCTTTTGAAACCAAAGCCACCCTCCCATCCTGGGCCAAGACTCTCTGAACTTATCCATCAGCGAAGATCACTGACGTTGTAAAGATCTGCTTTTCTGACATCCATAATATACTGTCTGCAGTAGGATATGTGCATGTGTGTGTGCATGTGTGTGTCTCTGTGTGTGTAGACTGCTCAGATTTTTCATTTTTTACCCCCTGCTCCCATGACAGTTGATGAAGTTCTTGCTCCTTTGAATCAAGAGGAGGCAGAGCAGGATTTGCACATCAATGAATCAATCTCTTTAATAAAAATAAAGGAAAAATATTATAACATTGGTTACTAAAGGGAAGATGGGTGATATTTGCAAAGTTTCGGTAGCATTATAAAATACCTTTACACTTTTGTTCCATAGAAATTATACTCAGAAATGGAAATTAAATGTCATCAGAAGAAATAAACACAGCTGTTTCACTGAAAGACAAGTAACTAGTAAAACTGTGGAAGTTAAAAAATTTTTGCAGATAACCTGTGAAAACAGTCACTATCAAACACTGGTCAACAGCACATCATTGTATAAGGTAATGCTTTTATGTTATTTTAACTTTAAGACTTAATGGAAAAGATAAAATTCCCAAAAGAGGGATTGAGGGCTACCATTTGGTCTCATAGCAAGCTGCCTGATCCCACATGACTCACTTGCCCTGTTTGAGCCGAGTATCCTCACTGGCTTGTTGTCAACCGCTGATACATAGTATTAAAATATGTTCCACAGTAGTTTCCCTGGATTTGGTGTTCAATAAATGATCACAGCTGCCTCTCTCCCACTCTTCCTTCATTTTCCTTCTCTTTCAATAAGTTACTTTTTAGGAATGCTAGTTCAAGGATTTCCCTTTTCTCCCGTCACATGTACTTAACATGTAAAACTCAATTGTATATGTTTTTCTGAATACATTAGTTCTTTTTATAATATTGAAAATGGTAGCGCTTTTATAATATTTTAACTTTGAAACTGAAAAACGAAGAAAGCAAAAAGCACTCATAAATCCATCAATTAGAGACTTCGTGCCTTTTTTTTTTTTCTGTGAAGCATTCGCTTTTTAAAAGTGGTATATTTTATTTTACTGTGTTTTTTCCTCTAAGAATTATGTTGTGACTATCCCTTCACATCTTTAAATGATCTTCTAAACATAGGCTTTCCGTTTTTATGTGCCTGATTTCATCTAACTAATCCCATTGTTATTGGACATTTGTGAATTGCCTATTTTTCACTATTATTTAAAGGTTGAAATGAATACCACTTCCACAGATCCTTGGGTGTTTATATAATTTGTCCTTCAACCAAATCCCTAAATGTAGAATTACCGAATCCAAGGCTGTGAGCATGTTTATGTCTTTTTCTTCACACTATCAAACTCGTCTCCAGGGAGCTCTGCCAATTTTACCCCACACTTGAAAAAAGAATCCCAATTTTCTGTCACCTCCACAACACTGGGAAATAATGCTCCTAGAATGGTTCAAATTGGATGTGAAAAATTTCTAAAACTCCTAGTGGTTTTTTCACTTTTCTTAGTAATAAATTAATCTTTTGTGTCTATTTATTGCATCTTACTGCAATCAGGCAATTTTGTGGGTTGCCTGTTTATTTTCTCTGTCTTCTTCAGTTGGCATACCTTTTACTTGTTGAATTTTAAAAGCTCTTATACACCATGGAATACTATGCTGCCATAAAAAAGGATGAGTTCATGTCCTTTGTAGGGGCATGGATGAAGCTGGAAACCATCATTCTCAGAAAACTAGCACAGGAATAGAAAACCAAACACTGCATGTTCTCACTCGTAAGTGGGAGGCGAACATCACACACCAGGTCCTGTTGCAGGGTGGCAGGTAGGGGATGGATAGCATTAGGAGAAATACCTAAGGTAGATGACAGATTGATGGGTTCAGCAAACCACCATGGCACGTGTATACCTACGTAACAAACCTGCACATTCTGCACACGTAACCCAGAACTTAAAGTATAATATAAAAAAAAAAAAACTCTTTTAGACCACGCTATAGGAATTAAGTATACACATACATAGTGTGTGTGAGTATAGAGTATGTGTATGCATAAAAAACGTACACACTCCCATCCACACACAAACACAAATTGTGTAGTTCAGGGGTCCCCAATCCCCGGGCCACTCCCCCTCACTCACATTACCACCTCCTGTGAGATCAGCAGCGGCATCAGACTCTCACAGGAGCAAGAACCCTATTGTGAACGGTGCATGCGAGGAATCTAGGTTGCACGCTCCTTATGAGAATCTAATGCCTGATGATCTGTCACTGTCTCCCATCACCCCCAGATAGGACCACCTAGTTGCAGGAAAACAAGCTCAGGGCTCCACTGATTCTACATTATGGTGAGTTGTATAATTATTTCATTATATATTACAGTGTAATAATAATAGAAATAAAGTGCACAATAAATATAATGCACTTGAATCATCCCCAAACGAACTATTCCCCACTCAACCCCTACCCACCGTGGTCCATGGAAAAATTGTCATTCATGAAATCAGTCTCTGTGTCAAAACGGTTGGGGACAGCTGATGCAGTTTATATGGAATAACAAATCTGAATAATGTGACTCTGTCATGGAAACTTTAAAGACCTATAAGAGAGAGTGGTCTGAACAGAACTTGGGAAAGCTAAAGCGAGTGACGATGACATCCTTGAAACTTTTGTTTGTGCCTTATGCTTGAACACTGTTTACTTGTGATTTCCAAAGACAGCTCTTATCTGAAATGTTTTCTAAACATTTGAGTCAGTCCTGAGTTGACTTCACTCTATTTCCCATCAATGTACAAATGTGTTACAGTACATGTAAAGTAGTGAGGCATGGTGTGCTGAGTTTTAAGATATTCTGACCGGGCGCGGTGGCTCACGCCTGTAATCCTAGCGCTTTGGGAGGCTGAGGCAGGTAGATCACAAGGTCAGGAGATCGAGACCATCCTGGCTAATAAGGTGAAACCCTGTCTCTACTAAAAATAGAAAAAAATAGCTGGGCGTGGTGGTAGGTGCCTGTAGTCCCAGCTACTCAGGAGGCTGAGGAAGGAGAATCATTTTAACCCAGAAGGCGGAGGTTGCAGTGAACCGAGATCAAGCCACTGCACTCCAGCCTTGGGGACAGAGTGAGACTCCGTCTCAAAAAAAAAAAAAAAAAAAGGAAATTCCAAAATGCAGATATTTAAATTAAGAGCATTGATGCACCAAGGATGTTTAGCTAAACAATTGACCGCAGGGCTAAGTATTCTAAGCCTGTTGACTGATCATGACTTCACCCGAGAGCAAGGAGTCTAAATCAGTAGACAATTGAGTAGACAATTTAGTAGACAATTGATTGAAAAGGAAAAATGAAGAGTCTCTGATCTTTTCTATAGCTTGAAAAAATTAGTTTGACTTTATAAAATTTTGACTTATACATAAATAATTTACTGATGTGAGGTACACATGTGGGTGCTTCACGGGCACATTCTGTGCAAAATGGGTCTAACCCCAGTGGCTGCCAGCTCTGAGGGAGAAGTCTGCGGGCAGTAGGTTCTTTTTGCTTGGTGTTTGCAGAAACAGTGTCCAATCATGAAGGATGGCCATTCAGCCCCCAGCCTTCCCATGTGGTCCCTGCACGGCTCTGGGACCTACTTCTGGGTGTCAGATGTGCTGGATTGAAGAAAGTGGCTTTATTACAGTTAGTATTAATTCCTGTGACATGTATGGAAATGTGTGTGTGAGAGAGAGATGTTTGAGTATACCTATGGATTTGAATATTGTTGATGCATTTCTAATCAGCTCTCTGGCTTCTGGTGGAGAGTGTCAAAGGTGTGGGTGGTCTGCTAGCTACTCGGTTCTCTGAGTAATTCTCCACCCACCCCACTACCCATCGCTGGGATGCATAGTCCAGAATACACAAAATTGGACTGAACATGTATGAAAGAGTTGTGACTCAAACAAGGATTTGTGTTGTAGTGTTCTCTCTCTCTCTGTCTCTCTCTCCCTGTTTCTCTCTCTCTGCAGGTGTGTGAAAGAGAGATGAAAGACTATTGATGAAAGCAGCTACAGTGCTCATACTGCCCCATGTGCTGCTTCCCAGCATGTATTAATAATGATAATCATACCAACAGCAATGGGACTGCATTTAATTGTTTCAGTAAAAGCAGTACCAAGTCATTGGGACATGTATCGAGGAATTGCTACTTTCCATTCTGTTTTCCTTTTGCTCTAAAGTTATTTAACTCAAAAATTTGGATCATTGTAATTCAATTCGGTTTTTACTTAAAGTATTTTAACTTGCTTTCTTAAAAACAGAACTGTAAAAAGCTACTGGAGAACAATAAAAACCCAACGATAAAGAAGAACGCCGAGTTGGAAGACCAGGGGTATTACTCCTGCGTGCATTTCCTTCATCATAATGGAAAACTATTTAACATCACCAAAACCTTCAATATAACAGTTGTGGAAGGTAAGGGAAATCTTAGAATTGGGAAGAAACAGATGTATTTTAGTAAAATGGAATTTTTCCATTCTTCAAAACTGTGTAGGAATTGAGAGTCCACTTAGTTGGGGTTGTGACCACACCACTAGTTCAAATATAAGGGTCAAAATCTTCCTTTTGATGCTCCTCTACTTGGCTAAATAAACCTTTCTTTTTGGCAGGAAATGAAAATCTATATGAATAAACCTCACATGAGTCAGCTGTCTCTTATATATGGAATTTGAGTGAATTGTGGAATCTTTTGTTGTTGAATTTACATTTTCACTCCACAAGTATTTATTGACGATATCTATACTCAATAAACTGTACTTAGCACAGGGAGGCTGGGAGGCAAGGAAATATGAGATGAAGTGAGCACTGTGCTATTCTCAAGGGATTTGATTATAATCAGGAGAAGTAATAACCTAATGCCACCGTATGAAACAGCATTATCTGTGAGGCTGCAAGAGTGCAGGGGGAAGTTGGAGGAAGGACAGATGCAGGAGGCTCCCTTTGACCTGCATCTTGGAGGGGGAGCCTCATGAAGCAGTGACCTGCTGGGGAAAGGGATCTTGACTGGGAAAGTTAAGGAACATTGATGTGTTGGTGGGAGGGGAGGGATGCTGGACCCAGGCTGTGTGTGATGGAAGAACAGTATCATGGGACATTAAAGGTATTTAATTAAACCTCACCCAGTGAAGATATTTGTCATAAGGCACAGCTGTTAATTGATCATCCAGTCCCTTCTTGGGAACTACCAAGGAAATGACCAAATCACACAGCAGTATAGTCCAGATTTTAATATCTGATTGTTGAAGTCTCTTTTTTCCATTGAGTCCAAATATCCCTTCTTGTAGCTTCCAACCACTGATTTTGATTTGCCTTCAGGAATTTCACAGATTAAATCTGGCGCCTTCTTAAAATGACAGCTCCTTTCCTGATTTGAAGACAGGTGACTTATCCAGTCTAGACTTTTTTCCCCCCATCATCCTGAGAAACTGGAAACTGTAACACTTGTGTGGGTGGCTAGTTCAACAAAATCTGTGGGCTCACATTTGCTGCAGCCTTTGCTTTAGCAGCGTCTTTCCTCTTCACTACAAGCATATAGCTATACACACCCATGTATTGCCACAGTAACAAATTACCCCAAGTTTAACGTCTTCAGTAAAATCAAGGTTTTGGCAGAATGAATCACTTTACTTCCAGAGGCTGTAGGGGAAAACGTGTTTCTTTTTTTTCTTTTTCTTTTTTTTTTTTTTTGAGATGCAGTCTAGCTCTGTCGCCCAGGCTGGAGTGCAGTGGTGCAATTTCTGCTCACTGCAAGCTCCGCCTCCTGGGTTCACGCCATTCTCCTGCCTCAGCCTCCTGAGTAGCTGGGACTACAGGCACCTGCCACCATGCCCAGCTAATTTTTGTGTTTTTTTAGTAGAGGCGAGGTTTCACTGTGTTAGCCAGGATGATCTCAATCTCCTGACCTCATGATCTGCCTGCCTCAGCCTCCCAAAGTGCTGAGATTATAGGGGTGAGCCACCACGCCCAGCTGGAAAATGCATTTCTTTGCCTTTGCTTTCTCCAACTTCTAGAAGCCACCTGCATTTCTTGGCTTGTGCCACTTCATTTCAGAGCCAAACACATTCGCTTCCCTCACCCCATCTCCTTTTTGACTCTGACCTTTCTGTCTCCCTCTGACGAGGACCTTGAGACGACATTGTGCCCACCTAGATAATCCAGGGTGATCCCCCATCTCAAGATCCTTAATTTAATCACGTCTAGAGGTTCCTTTTGCCATGTAACATATCATATTCACAGGAACTCGGGAGTAGGATGTGGGAAACTTTGGGGTCTATTATTCTGCCTGCCACAGTCCAGAACCGGGGAAACCCATAACTGAATTTTTAAACTCAAAAACTTAAATTCTATGTATAATCATCTACCCTAAACTCTCCAAATTTTCTTTCCTGTATGTATTTTTAATATCGTATAAATCTCTGTCCCTTTGATACTTTCAGAACCTGCACCCTCTCTCCCACCATCTTTGCTTTCCGCCCATCAGCAGCTCTTTCCTTCCTTCTTTGATGAAGCTGTAGGAATATCCATTATTAAAAGGGTACTTGCTATGGGCCAGGGATTGTGCCAAGTACTGGAGTTGAATCATGTCATATAATCCTCACAACAGCTCTGTGAGGCTGTGGCCTTGGGTGAGTTCATTTCTTAGTTCCTCTCTGCCTCAGACTCCTCACTGTGAAATGGGGAAGTAATGGTTCATCCCTCATAGGGTTGGCTGAAGATGACTGAGTGAGTGTGTATTCAGCTCTAGGATGGCTCCAGGGACAGCAAGAGTTCCGCTGTAATGACCATCTCCCACTGCTATTCTTCTCCCATAATTGTCCATCTTATTTTCCTTGTCTTCTTGGAGAACGTCAACTGAGTCTCTCAGGACTCCACTCAAATGTCCCTCCTCCTCCATGCTCCCATGGTCTCTTGTTTGCGTTTCTGATTGCTGTCACAATTGCATTACATGTGTGCCTCTGTCAATGACTTGAAACGTTTCTGGAAAGGTTTGCACTGAGTTCTGTTCCTCATCTTTGCATCTTGAATACCTGCGATTGACACTTGGCACATAAAGGTGCTCATTACATGCCTGTTGTGTGCATCACTGAGACGGCAACAACTCCTTTGATGCCACATGCAGCAAGAAGTCTAGACACTTCACCATCCTGGCTATTTTTATTTGGATTTGGCGAAGTTTGCCACGAGTCTACAGAAATCAGAGCTTGGAGTTGGAGAGGACAGCCAGGAGGTGTTCTGACCTGTGTTGAGGACGGGGGGGGCTCTGAGCTCCCACCTTCTCCATGTTGTGTCTTTATTACAGTCCCCTTGCCTTCGCAGATGGAGATCTCTCAGCTGCTACGTAGTGACTGCCGTAGTGATGGAAAGGTGTGACACCTCTCCTCCCCATCTTAAGTCCCATGACAATGCTCCCATAACAAAAAACAGATTAACAAGGGGCAAGCAAAACAGATTTATTTAATCAAAGTTTTATGTGACATAGGAGTCTTCAGAAAGGAAGACCCCAGGACCGGGCGTGGTGGCTCACGCCTGTAATCCTAGAACTTTTGGAGGCCGAGGGGGGCGGATCACCTGAGGCCAGGAGTTCAAGACAGGCCTGGCCAACATGGCGAAACCCCATCTCTACTAAAAATACAAAAATTAGCTGGGCTTGGTGGCGGGCACCTGTAATCCCAGCTACTTGGGAGGCTGAGGCAGGGAGAATTGCTTGAACCCAGGAGGTGGAGGTTGCAGTGAGCCGAGATTGTGCCAGATGCACTCCAGCCTGGGTGACAGAGCGAGACTCGGTCGCAAAAGAAAAAAAAAAAAGGAAAGAAATGAATACCCCAAGACTCAGGAAAACCACTTTTTTTCTTTTTAAATGCTTAGGTTCTAGAAACATGGGCAGCCATGTAGAAATGTGATTGGACAAGAGGGGATGACCTAATGCTAATAGACTGAGTGGGGAAACTCAGCAAGACCTGTCCAGATTCTTCTTGGCCTCTCTGTGGTAATTCTTTTTCCTGGGTAGAGAGCAGAGGGTCTTAATACTTACTGTCAGACCAAAGGAGGCTAGAGAATTTATAGCCAGCTCCTAGACAGAAAGGCAGGAGAAGGTTAGAGCCATGCTCCTAGGTTCCACGGCTTACTTTGGGGAAAAGGATTCTAGTTTTTATGATCTGCCTTTGGGAAGAGGGAGTCTGGTTTCTAGGACTCGCTTTGGGGAGAATGGGGGCATGAAGCAGGAGGGCAGGAGAAGGTCAGAGAGATCTTGGTTTTGAGGCTGCTTTGAGGTCTTCAAATGTGCTTTAGTTTAAAGTACTCAGCCTGCCAAAACGCCATGCTTTGGGCACTGTTTTTGGAGCCCAGGAGTACCACTGCCTTCAGCTCGTGCTCGTGAATCACAGTCACCTGAATTCCCACCGGGCATCTGCCACTTTCCTGGTCTCACGCTCTGGCTGATCAGGTGGTGTCTCCTCCTACTGCTGATGACCTCTATGCCGTTTTGACTCTGATAGCCTCCTAGGTAGACTGGTCATGTCAAGGGCATGAACTACGATGTTGTTTCCTTCTGTGACCTACATGGGACTGCCCCCTTCACTTTACACCAGTTGTGCAAACTCAGGGCTGATGTAGGTTTCCAATGATATAATTTGAGTGTTAGTAGACAGCATCCTTTGCTAAAGATGTCCTTCACGCTGCCCCTTCTCAAGTCTCCCATGTAAGTTTCTGGGGGAAAAAATGGATCCAGAGAAAGGTAGTCAGTAGCAGTTTTCCCCCTCACACAGAAGTTGCCTCCTGCGGCCGGGCGCGGTGGCTCAAGCCTGTAATCCCAGCACTTTGGGAGGCCGAGACGGGCGGATCACGAGGTCAGGAGATCGAGACCATCCTGGCTGACATGGTGAAACCCCGTCTCTACTAAAAAAAAATACAAAAACTAGCCGGGCGAGGTGGCGGCGCCTGTAGTCCCAGCTACTCGGGAGGCTGAGGCAGGAGAATGGCGAGAACCCGGGAGGCGGAGCTTGCAGTGAGCTGAGATCTGGCCACCGCACTCCAGCCTGGGCAGCAGATCGAGACTCCGTCTCAAAAAAAAAAAAAAAAAAAAAAAGAAGAAGAAGTTGCCTCCTGCCCCTTTGTCTTTGAATTCAAGCCCATGTTGCTTCTTATTGTCAGACCCGAGAGTTGGTTCTTTCCCTGGATACATCTCAGCTCCTCCTGCCTGTCTACCAGCATTCCAGGCTTGCCCAGAGACTCCGAATCCCAGGAGAACCCAGTCCTGACTCTCAACCCCGGGGTCCACTGTGCTGGTTTCATTCTCCTGTTCTTGCTCACATGTCTGCCCACTGCATTCTCCACTGCTCACTCTGGCACTGCACTTTCTGAAAGGGCTCAGGGAGGTGTGGGAGCTGCAGGAGGGCTCCTGAGTCTCACTGTACCCCACTCAACCAGGCATTCTGCTTGCCGAGCACCTGCAAGTCCCAGAGGGATGTTCTGGACCTTGCTTGGGAATGCCCCAAAGCAGCGGGGCTACTAGCAGGGAACAGTCCTGGTCATGAGGAAGGTTACCAATGCGGATATCAGGGCTAACAATAAGTTAACTATTAGGGTTTGCAGTTGCCAGCTGCCTTAGGCAAGAGCCTGCTGGGTGATGACTTACTTCCCAAGCATCACCAGATGGGGACTGAGGGGGCAGAATTTATGTGTCGTACTTCCAGTCAGGGTCAGAAGCCACTCAGGAGCAGAAGTAGACCTTGGCCTATAGGCGTGAACTTACCAGCAGGGCCAGGGCCCAGGTGAGGCTCCCAGGCACAATATTGAAGGGACACTGCTCTTAGCATCTTGCCAGGGAACGGTGGGCACCTAGAATGAGGAATTTGCTTTTCTCAACCTGTCTTGTCTCTGCACCCTGTAAATTCATCACTGGCCAGCTGAGGAAGACAGATGGAGGGAATCGAGACAGGGCAGAAAGGCTCTTCCCGGTGATATTGCATGGTCCAACTCTTGCATGTTTGATTGTCTGGGAGTCAGGCAGCAGTGGATGGGCATCTTCCTCTGCCTTTTAGTTAAAGTGAGCAGAAGCTGCAGATTTGAGTGAGAGAAAACCAGATGCAAGGTGCTTTCAACATCTCCGTCAGCATGGAGTTGATGGAGAATGAAACAATAAACAATATGATCTGTGACCTTTAGTTAATGCAAATAGGAGTCAAGTGAATGTAAACCAGTAACTATTGGAATCTTTGTTACATGAAATGAGCATATTATCATAGATGCTTCTCTTAGAGAAGCTCAAGGCAACACTAATACATTTGTCTTTTCTTTTGTCACTTCTAGATCACAGTAATATAGTGCCAGTTCTTCTTGGACCAAAGCTTAACCATGTTGCAGTGGAATTAGGTATATTTCAATATATGTATATTCTGCATGTATAAGTAGGGGACATAATAGAGTCTTCCAAGGGTAAATACAATACATTATTGAATGACACCAGGTACACATTTCATATTTGCTGACTAACATTACAAAACTAAAAAAAGGGTGCCATTTTTTGAATCTTGCCACTTTTAATCTGACACAGTGTCATTTCAACCTTTTGGAATTTGTAGTGACTTACTTAAGGCCCACAGTATGGTATATCTTGCTGAATGTTCCAAATGCATTTGAAACAAAGGTATATTCTATAGGTTTTGGTTTTACTATTCTTTAAATGTCAATTTGGTTGAGTTCGTTAATGGTGCTGTTCAAAACATTTATATCCTTACTAGTCTTTTATCTGCTTGTTCTATGTGTTGCTGCAAGAGACGTGAATATCTCCAACTATTATGGTCAATATGTCTCTATCTCTTTTAGTTCTGTCAATTTTTGTTTTATATAGTTTGGAGCTATCTTATATGCATACACAGATTTATGCCTGTTGAATTAACACATTTACCATTATGAAATATCTCTCTTTATCTGTCATAACACTTCCTCTCTCAGTGTGTAGCTCTGCCATATGAAATAGTCACACAAGTTTTCTTTTGCTTAGAATTGGCATATTTGTCTTTTTTTTACATCCCTTTACTACTAACATTTTTTTTTTTTTTTTGCTGTATACATAAGGGTCTCTCATAAACTGCACGTATTTGGATCTTTTTTGAAATCTGGTCAATATGGTGTTTAGTCCATTTGTATATTTAAAATTACTGTTACAGTTGGTATATCATTATGCATGATATAAAAATATTCAATTTATTCTTTTTAAAATAAATTACACTTTGTTGAAAATGACCATATTTCCATCCACTTGTTTATCTTTTCCTCTATTTTCTTTCAAACAGTTCTTTAGAGTTTTTATCCACTAAATTCAGCATCTGTAGGTCTGCTTCTATTATCTGTCTTTTCTACTGATTATCGTGTACATTTTCTGTGTCTTTGTATGTCTCTTAACTTTTTATTGTTGTTGATCTTTGTGTATCAAACAATTAAAGTGAGCACAATTTGTGTAATTTTTTTCTTACAAGTAGGTAGCCTGAGAGATGAGTATCTCAGTTGACTCAGAATTGAGCTGGGGTAACTGAGATGTAGGTATGTTAGATCCTATCTGTCTTCATCTCTGATAGCTGGTTAGGGAGGGGGTGCTGCAGTCATGTGTTTGTTGCAGGCCTTTTCTCTAATGAGACTTGCTGTCCTGATTACCATGAGACTGCAAGTGATATCATGCAGCCTTTACATCCTCTTATGCTGTCCGAGCGCTTAGCAGTAATTCTGCAAGCCTGTGCAGCTGCTGAGAGCTTCACTGGATTTTCTTGTCTCTATAAGACACTTTCTGTTTATTCCAAACCAAAGCAAAAAGGATCCTTCCTAAGTACACTTTTAGTTCAAAAATCCCTCTTTATTTTCTCTGCACTTTGATGTCTTTAATGTTTGCTTAATTTAATTTTTTGTGGTTTATCCATTTGGTTTATCTAGAAGTCTCAGTGAAAGTATCGTCCTGATGCTACCTACTAAATTGTGTACTGAAAAGAAAGTACACTGATCACCCTAAGTTTTAATAGTTGATTAAAAAATAAATGTTTAAAAAGAAGCCAAATCATGTTTTGGTGATGACTTGTAATTGCTACCTATTTCTTCAGCTTTATATTTTTTAAATTTAAAACAAGGCATATTTATTCTGTTTCTGGGATGGAGCACCATGTTTTGCTTTAGGTGAACATACGTTCATTATATTGTTTTGAAACTTTTGAGAAACCAAGTTTCAAAAATCAGAACTTTAGTTGCCAACTTTTACCAGGAAAAGATGTAAGGCTCAACTGCTCTGCTTTGCTGAATGAAGAGGATGTAGTTTATTGGATGTTCGGGGAAGAAAATGGATCGGATCCTAATATACATGAAGAGAAAGAAATAAGAATTATGTATGTATGTATATATACCATATAACAATCATATATATTATATATAACTGTATATTAAAAACACTGGGTGGCTGATGTGTATTTTGGGCTAGTTTAAATTATAATTATAATTATAAATTATCAATTATAAATATAATTATAAAAATAATTATAATTATAATTATAATGGGCATATTTTATAATTATAATGGCCATACCCTAGGTGGATGGATTATGCAGAAATGTATTGCCAAGATCTAAGCTGGAAAAGAAGGTCCATGAGAAGGCCATTGAGGGTATTTAGCATCACCTTATAAAGCAGCACTTGGTCGGTCAGGATCTGATGCAGATGGGGATTTTACCTAGCTTCTTAGAAAAGGGCAGTTGCCTAGGCCAAGCTTTTTTTTATTTTGAAAAATTTGTTAAGTTGTTTATTTTTCTAATGTGCCAAAAAGGTTCCAAATGGCATGCATATTGATGCTTCAATAAGCCTATATTCTTCCATTAAGGAATGGTCAGACTTATAAAAAGACTAAACATATAGTCAGTTAAGCTTTTCTGAATGACTTTGAGTCATACTGTAATTATTCACTATTATACTGATACACTACTCAGGGTCTAGTGAGTGCTGAGCCTGAGTTGTCTAGCACCTTAGCAGCACTTGTTGAGTTTTTTCTTCTGCTTTTTACACATTTTTTTGGTATATTCTTTGTTACCATGTTGGCAGCTCTACATTCTTGCTGACACTTGTCTACAAGCTCTTTATACCATAAGTCTGAATTCTTGCCCAGGAGCAGGCATGTGATTCATGCCCGCTACATGTTGAATTCAGTTGAACTTTGTGGATCTCCTGCCATCGTATCTCATCCTCAGCCACTGACCTCCGTTTGAGTTTTGTATTTCTCCCTTTGGATGCTCTCTTCCTAATTTTTAGAGGGATAGAAAACCACAATGAATTTCTGAGAAATGCAGCTCAAGCTACAAAAGCAGGGAGGTCTTCCTTTGTAGTTGGCTGCACACACCTTTGATGTCATCTGTTTTGTCCTCTCAGTGGCCTCCTGTGTTTTACTTCTGGATATCATTGGTTTTAGATGGTTGTTATTTCTGGATGGGTGACTTAGGAACAGAATTACCTTCCAAAATGTACTTGAGGCAGTTGGAGGGTACAGTGGGGCTCTGTGTCTCAGGTCCTAGAGATGCCTGTTGCTAGGAATGTGGGTATGTGGGGCCCATGTCTGGCTGTGTTGACTGGTGTAGCTATCACAGCCTGTCATTGATGAGGGAAGTGGATGTCATGAGTGTTTACCTGGCGTCGACCACAGGACAGCTTGAATCCTTTAAGGAAGAGAAAGAGAGCGTGCTGCCAGTGGCTGTCTCAAGTCATTTTCTGACACTCATGGAACAGCTTAACTGGCACTTCTCATGTGCCTGGGGGTGCCTGAGAACAGTGTTATGTTTTTTAATGCTGAACAAATTAAATCAGTTTATTAGATTCCACGGACAAATGTAATACAAATCTGTATCTATGCTAAACAACTTACAGCCTTGTCATAATTAGTGGGAACCACTCTGTGCAAAGAACTGAAGCTGTTAGGAAGAGAGAAGTAGAGGAAAAATAATTGAGAGACAGAATATTTTCTCATATTTTCAACTTAGCATCATGATCTTGCAGCCATTTAAACTCTAGGTATTTGACAGCACCATTCCCAAATAGCCTTAGGAGGGCTGTTTCTGTCCATTGTGATGCCGCACAGAGGAGGGGAAGTTTACTGTAGTCCATGCTTTAAAAGTACTGACCAGAAAGGGAAGAAATAATGCAGGCAACATCACAGCTGCCTTCAAGCATTTTAAACACATACATTCTCCTCTTATGGGTAATGAACAAAGCCTACTGCTAAACTATTTTCCCCTCTTACAGGACTTCAGAGGGCAAATGGCATGCTTCAAAAGTATTGAGAATTGAAAATATTGGTGAAAACAATCTAAACGTTTTATATAATTGCACTGTGGCCAGCACGGGAGGCACAGACACCAAAAGCTTCATCTTGGTGAGAAAAGGTGAGAAAGATTTATTTTTGGAAGTTTTGAAACTTAGCGCACTGCTACTGAGAGACATCTCAAAGATGGCCACTTTCTCATTTTCCACACCAGAACCCAGCTCATGTCACAGGCATTCAATAGCGGAGCTGGTGTTCAGCTGTGCCGGGCCCCTCTGTCTCATGGTGCTAAGCAGAGAATGAAAACAGAACTCTTTCACTTGCTCTCACAGTCATATTCCACCCCAGTGGAAATCGGGGGGCCTGAGGCTTGGAGATACAGATGCTGAGAGCGAGGCTCATGGAGAGGCCATCAGGACAACCCCTGCACCCAGCATGCACCCAGAGCAGCCAGAGGGGAGTTTGCAGATCCGTGTGGGGTGAGGCCGGTGCATACTTGGTGTGACTGCTGCTCCAGCCTGCCTCAGTAGGGCACCAGGCTCAGGGGCCTTGTGTGTGCTCATTCATTCGTTGCCCCGTGGACTTGGCAAGTAGGCCATTGACAGCCCTGATCCGCCGGCTCTTAGAGTTATTCAGTGCTCACCTGATGGAGGGCCCCAGGGTCGCCATCCCTCTCCTCCACCAAAGTAGCACAGCCCAGGGCCTTCAGCCCAGTAGCTGCTCAGAAATGGCTGTAACTGAAGCCAGAAAGCTGTGATTTCCAGTTGTCACTACTCATTCACTGTTCATTCCCAGGCTCCACCATCAACTCCCTGGATATGTAGGGAAAGGTCAAGATCTGCAAGAGAGAGAGAAAGGGAGAGAGACAGAGACTAACACACCCAGAGACAGACAGAGAGAGGGAGAGACGGACACCGAGAGAAGAGAAAGAGAGATACATGAGATGGAGGGACAGAGACAGACAACTCTAGAGAGATGAAGACAGAAATAGAGAGAGAAAGAGAGACAGAGACTCAGAGAGACAGAGAAATGAGAGAGACAGGGAGAGACACAGAGACAGAGGAACAGAGAAAAGGGAGATAGAGAGGCAGAGACACGAAGGGATGCAAAGACAGAGAAATGAGAGCAAAACAGAAAGAGACAGAGTAAGGGAGAGATACCCACAGACACACACAAACAGGCAGAGAGAGCCACACACACAGACTGGGCCTTGGCTTTGTGAGAAACGGAAGGAGTAGGACAGGAAGAGCACAAAGGCTGGAAACCCCCTCCAGCTGGGCTATCCTGGTGCCCAGGGGCAGCTCCCCCAGCACACATGTTTTAGAGCTGCCTCTACCATATGCACTCATAACAACAGCTCACATTCCATACATGTTAATTACATGACAGGATCTGGGTGAAGCTCCTCCCATGATCTCATCCAGCCTTAACGACAAGCTTTATAGAGGTGAAGAAACTTGCCCAGGGTCACACGGCAGGTGAAGGCATTGAAACTCAGACCTGATTAAATCTGAAATCTGTGTTCTTACCTTCTGCAGGGCTTGTCGCCTGTGGTTTTCCGCCTCTGTGTGATTGCCTGCTCTGTGGTCCACGCACTTGCATGGGAGCGGGGCTCAAATCTTGTTTTGTTGGACCGTTGCCTGGCCAGGCTTTCCTGGGGCCTGCTCACCACCAGTCGCCTCTCCCCTCTTAGAACAGGGCAGGACTGTCCTATCCCTGCCCTAGACGCTTCTGCCCAGCCAATTCTCCTGCTGCTGCTCTCACAAATGTAGGCTTAGGAACTGGGGCTCACAACCCCCCATTATCCCAAGAGGAATTGTGTGGCAATGTGTGCGTGTCTGTGAAAATGTGTGAAACTGTTATAACTATGCAGTTCTTTCAAAGGTACAGGAGCCCCAGAGCATTCAGAGTTCACTGTTAAGCAACATTAGCTGCTTACCTGAATCCTAAAGATAGTGGAGAGATGCGGAAAGATAATTTCTAAAAATTGCATCAAGATGGCAAAAGTTTTAAGCACGTTTATACTTGTTGACCTAGAGATGCCCCCACCATTACAATGTATTTTAAGAAAAGAATTAGAAATATGGATAAATGCATATGCATTTGTGTATATGTATATACATATATGCATGTATATATACACATACATATAAATGTATATGTACACACGTACATGCATATATATTTATATAAATATACATGTATACATTTATATTCTACATACAAAATGTACTGCAACTTTATGTCTACTTACTAAAAATTGCAATCAATCTAAACATTAGGTTATTATGAATTATAATTTTAATGACCTACTAAAATGCTCATAATATAATATTTGGAAATAATGAGTGATTACCATATGATCTCAGTTAAGTAAAAACTTTAAGAGACAAAAAAGAAAACCTAGAAGGAAATATTCTACCGTGTCAACACAGCCTTCACCACATTGTGGTTGGTTGTTAAAAATTACTTTATTCTTTTATTCCTCTGTGTTATCTTAGATTGTCCATAATAAGCATAAACGGAATCAATCTAGAAAATGTATCTTTTTTCCAAATGGCACTTTTATATAAAGAATTTGCTAAAATTCCAAGAGCTGTGTGCTGTATTAACTGCTTTGTGTGTAATATTTCATGTAATCTTCCCCAAAGGAGAAACCTTGTAAGGGAAGAAGAAACTGTTAGATTCTCCTTTTTTCAGATTAAGGTACCAAGGTTTAGGGGCATTCTTGATTTTTCCTACAAAACAAAATAATTGATGGAGCCCGGCTTCTAACCCAGACAAATGTCAATCCAGCCCTCTCTCTCTTCTCTCAAAACTATGCACCTCCACCCGCTTACTAAGGTTTCTGTGAGTCCCTATGTACTTCAGCCTAGTATCTCTTCACCCCAGAAATCTGATTTCCACAGGTATGGATAGAATACATTACTGTGTAATGTTTTCACTTCAGGTCTCTAAATATCCTTGTACACATTTTTATTCTTTAAAAATTTGAGTAGAAATATCACTACGCCAGACTAAAGGCAGGAATGTGGAGTCACTCAGTGAATGTGTCAGCACTTGGGTTGGTAACTACTGCATTAGTGTTAACAGTAAAAATGGACAAGCATGTGATAATGGACAACACTGGTAAGATTTCTTGATTATTTCCTTTTCCTTTTTCTCTTTCTTTTCTAGCAGACATGGCTGATATCCCAGGCCATGTCTTCACAAGAGGAATGATCATAGCTGTTTTGATCTTGGTGGCAGTAGTGTGCCTAGTGACTGTGTGCGTCATTTATAGAGTCGACCTGGTTCTATTTTATAGACATTTAATGAGAAGAGATGAAACATTAACAGGTAACACATATAATGCTGGGGTTTCTTACCTTATGTCCTCATTAAGAAATCAAATAAATAGACATTAATCTTCATCTTATTGTGATGATACTGTAGAATTAATCTGTGGGAGAGGTTTTCTATGGGAAATATTGTTCTGCCTGTACCATCCATTATGAATGTTGTTTGTGTCTTCTTTTCTTGTGCTTACTTATGTGTTGCCCAAAATTGTTCTGATTGTCTTGTGTATGTATGTCATAGCCTCCTAAATGCCCTGGGAGATGCTCGGGCCCAGGAACTGTGTATCTGTGTGTCCTTGTGCATGCATCACCTAGGTACCTTTATAGTACATACACTCAATAAAGTTGCTTTTAAGTTCGATTGAATTGTCCTATCACTCATTATTTCAGCCGGGCAAAGGAAGCTTACATAATGGATGTGTAAGAACCCCAAGCTGGCCAGGCGCGGTGGCTCACGCCTGTAATCCCAGCACTTTTGAGAGGCCGAGGCGGGCAGATCACAAGGTCAGGAGATCGAGACCATCCTGGCTATCTCAGTGAAACCCCATCTCTACTAAAAATACAAAAACATTAGCCAGACATGGTGGCGGGCACCTGTAGTCCCAGCTACTCGGGAGGCTGAGGCAGGAGAATGGTGTGAACCTGGGAGGTGGAGTTTGGAGTGAGCCAAGGTGGTGCCACTGCACTCCAGCGTGGTCGACAAAGCAAGACTTGTCTCAAAAAAAATAAAAATTAAAATTAAAAGAACCCCAAGCTAGAAGCCAAATGATCTGGGTTCTGATCTCCTAGATCTGCCAGTTTTTATCTGCGACTATGTTGACCTGCTGGCTCCATCCCTCAGTTTCCTTATATGTAAAGGTGACTAGAAGTCCTCAAGTTTCCAGATAATTACTAATTTAAAGGAAGTCAGTCTAATTCATTGCACTTGATTTTGTTTCTGCGTATGCGTGTTTGCAGGAAAAAAACCTTCACACAGTTCAAAACCCAAAATGTCTATTAAATTATACTTCAGAAATCCCCCTTCCAGCCTAGTCCTGGATCTATGATTCCCAACCCTCATTGATGGCACATCTGATCAAATATAAATATAGATTCTTACTACACTCCTTCTTTGAAAGAGAACAAATCTCGGCTTAATATGCACACTCTTTTCAACTTTGCTCTCTTATACCTTAGACACACCTGCATGTTACTTTATACAGAAGTCCCTCATTTTTTAGGGCCTCACAGTATTTTATTTGTGTAGAGCTACAACTGTTTATTTAGTCTCCTTTTGATGAACATTTGGCTTGTTTCCAATCTTTTGTTATTACAAAAATGCTGCACTGGACAGCTTTATACATTCATCATTTCGTATGTATGCAGTATGTCTGAAAGAAAAATTCTCCAAAATAGAGTTTCTAGAATACAAGAAGGAGACACGACTATTATTTTGCTAGATACTGTCAATTCACCCTCCCTACTGCCTTCAGAGGATGACAGCAACTTTTTTCCCATAACCTTACCCACAACCATTTGGAGTTGTGCCAATCTGATAGGTGAAAAGTTGTTTTTAATTTGCATTTCCCTTACTATGCAAGAGTATCAGCAACTTTTCATTTGCATAGGGCTCAATTGTATTTCCTTTCTGAACACACCCATTCATATCTTTTGACTATTGTTCCATGAGGCAATGGCCTTATTTTGCCTATTTATTTCTAGGAGCTATTTATATTTTAGGGAGTTTAGCCTATTATCTATAATATGAAATGCAAATATTTCCAGGTTGTAATTTGTCTTTTGACTTTGCTTATAGTGGTGTGCTATATAAAAGACTTTTTGAAAAACATACTCAAATACATCATCTATGCTTTCTGGATTTGGGGTCATAAGTAAAACAGCCTTCCTAACCTCAAGTTATACAGAAATTATATAGTTCCTCTGAGGTTTTTATAGGTTTAGTTTTCACATTTAGAACTTTAAGTTGAACAATATGAAGTTAGCAAGGTTAGTAAATTTAACTTTGAGCCTACCTGTGCACATACGATTTTGCTATGGGGAGAGATGGTGCCACAACAAATGGGGAAATCTGTATTTGATATTTTCTGAATGGTCTCTGCATAGACCAGTGTTTGTCTTCAAACAGACATTGACTAGCTGCTCTCTTTCTGACTTTCTGGAGCTAAGATTTATTTTTTTCTTCTCCAGTTGTGTTTGACATGATTTGCAGGTAATTTGTTTGATTCACACTTCTTAACTGTCAATATGGCAGTGCACAGAGACATTTAGAGACATGCTCTAAATAACTTCCATTAAATTATAGTCCACAAACAAATGCAGTCCATGAAAAAGACAGAAATGGAGATATAAGTATGAAAATAAAAACTTTTTTCACAATTTAATACTGCTGCAATATCTAAGAAAGTGTTCAGTATTGGTTTGTGAAGGATTGGAAATGAAACTGATCAATCAACAACAACAAAAGAAGGCAGATTTAAATTAAAACATGGTCATTCACCAAGCATAGTTTGAGGAACATTTGTTTAACTTACTCCTTGAAGTCCCAAATATCCATTTGAATTATAATTTCCTTTATAATTTTCATTTATGTTTGAACATAGAGAATAAAAAAATTACCATTAGCTTTCAAATTCCTTTTTTTTTTTTGTACACTTTGTCAATTTTCAAATCCACTAAACCTTTTACTACCTGGATTTAAAATAAATTTTAATAAAATTAGCAGATTTATATTACAAGAATTGCTTAAAATAAGGAATTTGAAAGCAATTAACATTTGAAAAGCTAATTTTTCATAGGTAAGAACAAAGCTATATTGCATGTAATGTAAACCCATATTTGATGAAATTGTCTTCCCAGTTTATTGCAATCCATTACATCATAAGAAAATTATGCCTTTTAAAAAAGTGTGCTCATTTAATTGTCTTACACATTGGTGTCTGTTTTGTCACTGACACGGTAACAATCCTAGTGGAAGCACTACCTCTTACTTAACTAGTAGGTAGTTATATTTGATAGCAGTTTAAGAAAAGTATGTGGGGTACCTACTTACTGATTAATAACTGGTTTTTATTTTTACCAACATTTCATACCTTTGATATTTATGTAAGCCTGAAATTTTTACCAACATTTTTCCTCTTTCAATGCATGCAACTCTGCAAAGCAATTGCTTTAAATGAACAATAGGTTCTAACCCAAACTGCTGAACAGAATGCTGTACGTAGAACTGAAGAATCTTTTGCCAGAAGCAGAAAGTGTTGATTGGTGACCATGAGTGCTATGGAGGATGTCAGGCTGGGCTGTTGAGCATAAATGATGGCACCATAAGAGACATAGATCTAGAATGGTTTTATCCTATTAGATTTTAATAAGGGATGCAATCATATGTAGCATTTAACTCAGTAGCAAATTCATTAACCCCAATAATATACCATGCATAAATCTTACCTGTCTGCCATCAAAACAATTGTCATGGGATAAAGGTAGACCATTCCCCCACTGTTTTCCTTTTTTCTCTACAGATCTCAATTAGAATCCATTGCATTTTTTAGGACCCGACTCAAAATTTCCTCCTTTCAGAAAGCATGTCCATCAGGATCACTCTTTATTCTCTGACCAGGTTATTTTGTCTGTGAGTTTTGTTAGTTTTGTTGTTGTTGTTGTTGTTGTTGTTATGCTATTTTTCTTCTGCTAATCTGTTGTTTGTAACTTTTTCCAAGTTGTTGCATGCACCTGCTTTGCTTTTAAAATAGATTGGATGAAGCTAGAAGAGAGAGTGGTATCATGTTTTAATTACCCAGTTAGAAGCATGGTCTTTGTTATTTAGGAGGCATTTCCTCCTAAATTTGTTCTGTTAGCCATCTGAGTACTACTCCATTGTCAGAAATTAAATAGGAGCAGATGTTATCATCAGTGAAAATCATCAATAGATCAGAAGTTTTCCTTTTGACATCTATATTCTATAATATTTAAAAATATAATAGCATGTTTTCCAATAGCATATTATTTCATTTTCCTCTATTGTTTTTCCCCACATTCTGGTGTAAACTGCTCTGCTTCTCTCTTCACCTTCTTGGGGGTCTCTTTGAGCGTAGAAATTGTGATGGTGGTAGAATTAAGTGATATGAGTAAACCAGGGTGAGATTTTTTTTCCACTCCTGGAATGAGGGCACCTTTGGGCTCTTGGCCTTCTAAGGAACTTAAAGACTTAAGTTCCTTTAATGCCCACATCTATGGCTCATATGTCTGTCTATTCTTCTATGGTGTTAAGCAGTGGGATCTTAAAGTAGATGCTTAAAAATGCATTGACTAATGGGTTGCTTGGTTAGCATGGGAGGTTTAAATATAAACAACTTTATATGTAATTTTTCTTTTTCAGTGAATCTATACTAATTACTTATGACAGTTACTTAAATTTGTACTTAAACAACATTTAATTTACACATGAATTAAAAGAGTCAATCTTACCTCCTAGATGGAAAAACATATGATGCTTTTGTGTCTTACTTAAAAGAATGCCGACCTGAAAATGGAGAGGAGCACACCTTTGCTGTGGAGATTTTGCCCAGGGTGTTGGAGAAACATTTTGGGTATAAGTTATGCATATTTGAAAGGGATGTAGTGCCTGGAGGAGGTAAGACGGAATGCCAGACAGAAAAATATTCGAGATAGTTTCTTTTTTTAAAAGGATTGAGCTAGCTCCCAGATGGCTATCCCATTTCCTTAAAAACAAATGAATAAGGTCCTTTAAGCCAGAAATAACCAGGTGAGTCAACAATTGATAGTGAGAAAACAAACTACCGAGCTTCCAATAGTCTCTTCTCTTGGGTTGTGTTCTTTGTGCTTCATGGTTCTCTGAAACGTTGGGGAAAGGGAGAGGGCATTTCCTTTTCAGAACCGGGTCCAGAGCTGGCGTTATCATGAAGCATTTATTTAGAAATGATCCACGGTGAGACTGCACCACAGTAGCAATTCCAAATTTCACATGTGATGTGTGGACTAGTTAATCCTCACTAGTAACTCTTACTAGAAATAAACACAGGTTAATTATTACTAGAAAATGCACGATTTATATTGTGTTGACATTGGTAACGAAATTTAAGTAGAAAATGTGAAAACTGTAAAGGAAAAAAAATAAAAGGAAAGCAGTGATTCCCGTCAGATCATAGCTATGAAATTCAATGTTTTCTTTATTAACATAGGAATACAAATGGCCATAGTGCATATATTGAAGCAAATTACGGTTAAATTTTTTTTTAAATGAGTAACATTTTTAGGTTTTCTCTGAAGTCTTCCAGAACAAACATTTAAAATCTGGTGTCAAATTATTCTGGATACTGATGCTTAAAAAGCAACAAATGTTTTATTATTACCATCATTAATTTATTAATCTAATATTTATTGGATACTATTCCTGTGCCAAGTTCTGAACTGGACATCAAAGATGTAGCAGTGAGAAAGAAATAGTTACATTCCCCCCCAACCATATTCCAATTTATAAAGGAAAATATTGCCAACTTACACTACTGTTTAGTAATAAACAACTTGTCAAAAAAATATGCCAGATTATCAGATGCATACATTGTGGTATTTTTGGGTAACAGTTCTTTGCATCTAAGACGGCATATTGTTACTTAGAAAGCATTTATTCTGGGCCATGTATCTATTTTACTATATTTTTGTTATTTTCTAGAGGTCTTTTTTGAAAATAGATTTATTCTTAATTCATAAATAAAAATAATGATCAAATATTCAGTTGTAATTAGGTTTGGTTAAACCTCTATTTGAGAACAGTGAGAGATCTAGAACAAGGGTTGACAATTTACCAGCCACAGGTTCCATCACACCTGCAACGCTTATTGAAACACAGCCACACACATTGGTTTACCTGTTACCTGAGTCTGCATTTGAGTGACAACAGAATTGAGTAGTTGTGACAAAGACAGCATGACCTGCAAAGCCTAACGTGTTTACTACCTAGCCCTTTGCAGAAAAAGTTTGCCAACCCCTGGTCTAAAATAATGGATGGTTTTGTTTTGTTGTGCCTTTTTGTCTTTTAATCTTTAAATTCTGATTTTAGCATGCTCTTTTATGCTTGAGGAGAAGCAGGATAGTATAATATGAAATATATTCCACTTAGGTTCAGATTCTGAGTCTGCCACTTATTAGCTGTGTGACTCTGAGCAGGTTACTTAACCACTCTGTGCTCTGGCTTCCTTGTCCATTAAATGGCGGTGATAACAATATCTTCTCTGTAGATTACATTAGTTAATATACCAAAAAATCATTTAAAATAAGGTATGGTACAGAATAAGTGCTAAGTAGATATTCATTATTATTGTTACCTAGAAAGTTTTTAATAAGCATATAAAATTGAGAACAAATGGTTTGTCTTAAAGAAAAACTTATTAGTGAGGTTAGGAGTTCATATAAAATAGGACTGTGCAAAATGACTTTTATCTCATGTTTCCCCTTTCAGTTATCTTAAATTAATATGGGTTATCTTGCATTTTTCAGCTGTTGTTGATGAAGTCCACTCACTGATAGAGAAAAGCCGAAGACTAATCATTGTCCTAAGTAAAAGTTATATGTCTAATGAGGTCAGGTATGAACTTGAAAGTGGACTTCATGAAGCATTGGTGGAAAGAAAAATTAAAATAATCTTAATTGAATTTACACCTGTTACTGACTTCACATTCTTGCCCCAATCACTAAAGCTTTTGAAATCTCACAGAGTTCTGAAATGGAAGGCCGATAAGTCTCTTTCTTATAACTCAAGGTTCTGGAAGAATCTTCTTTACTTAATGCCTGCAAAAACAGCCAAGCCAGGTAGAGACGAATCGGAAGTCTTGCCTGTTCTTTCAGAGTCTTAATCTTCAGAAACACTGAATGGCAAATAGAACTCAAGATACTCTGGGGACTGAGCGTATGAACCTGTTCATAACAAAGGCTGTGACTCAAAATATTTAACTCTGTAAAAATCCTGTTCACAATTTGAAGATGAACTAGTCATTAGGTTGGTGGGAATAAAACTAAAGATTGTGCTGTGGGCTGTGGTCACGTGCTCTCAGAAGACCTGGAATTCAAAAGAAATGGAGTTCTTCTTTTTCTCCCTCTTTCATACCTGGATGCAGCTGCTCTTACTCAATCCCATATTCAGCAAGTGTGAAGCGGGGCGTGATGCAAAATAACCTGTGCCCTACAAAAAGGGCACATCTTGAAGAGTTTTAATGCCAGTACTTAATTTGAATGAGGGGATTTTAAGTTCATGAAGAGGCATTTTCTAGGCAACAGTGGGTGAGGAGTAACTGAAATGCTGCTTTCACTCCCTAACATCATGGATCGGGTTGTGCATGGGATGTGGGAGGAGGGGCTGGCAGGGCTGCCTTCAGAGCCTGCAGGGCCTCAGCCTCAGGATGTATTTAATTTATCACGGCCACAGTTGCAGCCAACGGTTCTCGAAAGCTCATGTGGATCTATTTATGGGAACTTCTTAAAAGGACCCCAGAATAGATTTTTATCTTTCACAAGACACACAAATTCTAATTTAGTTAATTATCTGGGCCTTTCACTTTTGATGGTTTGAAACATTGGTTGATTTTTTTTTGTGTGTGTGTGTGGAAACAAGCCTTTATTAACCTTTATTTTGAAAAACATTTTAACTGGACATAGAATTTCAGGTTGGCACATATTTTTCATTCAGTACTTTAAAAATGTTCTTCCAATGTCTCCTGGCTTACATTGATTCTGACAAAGCATCTTTAATAATTCTTATCTTCATGGAATACTATGCAGCCATAAAAAGGATGAGTTTGTGTCCTTTGTAGGGACATGGATGCAGCTGGAAACCATCATTCTTAGCAAACTATCACAAGAACAGAAAACATTGGTTGATTTTGTGTGAATGTTTGTATCAAAATGTTTGCCAGGTTGCATTAGCCATTGAATAGCAAAAAAACTGATAGTTACTTGCTTGGTTTTTAAAAATTACATATTAAAAATGCCTTAGCATGAAGGCAGCATGGTGTGGCAGTTAAGAGATGGGTTGTGCAGCCCATTCTGAGCTCCAGTTCTGAGTTTGCTACTTACTTCTGTGGCCTCTGGAACCTCATCCAACCTCTCAGTGCCTCAGTTTCTTCATCTGTGAAATTAGAATTTATAATAATTGTACCTACCTCCCAGGGGTAACTAAGTGAATAAATATAAGTAAAGAACTTGCAGTGGTTCCTGGCCCAAACTCAGCACTCTCTCAGTGTTGCCATGACTATTTTTATTATCATTAGTAATGATTACTTAGATCAATTATTTAGCGGTGGACTAATGGAAGCTACAGAGCAGGGAAGGGAAGCAGACCTAGGGAGGAAGGCAGCTTTGATTTGAGGAGGTTTGCACACATAGAGAAGCATACTGGAGAAGCTTATCCAGAGAAAAGATATCTCTCCATTGAACATCTGCCTCTTTTGATGTTGGAAGACGCATGTCTTACTCCCTAAAGGGACCCCAGCACTGGGAGCCTTCTTGATGATCTCAAAAGTAATAGCTATTCAAGAAAATCACCAAGTCACTGAAACCGGGAGTTTGGAAGGCTGATGAGAACACATGGGAGCAACATGAATGTTCTACAAAACTTTAAAGCAGAGACTGTTTCAAACAGATGTAGCAGATACTACTGAAAACCAAAGGAGAGTGAGATTGTGTAAGAATGTGATTTCATGTTTGTAGTGCTTACAATTTTGTGCACCAACTGGATGGCTAGAAAGGGTAAAATAATTTAATAGCTCATATTTTATGTGTGAAAACATATTAGTGAACATATATAATCAAAATAGATTTCATTGCTATTGCATAGTCTCTGATACATAGAATGATTTTGCTTTTCTCTTTTATTATACTCGCTTTAAAATACTTGAAATAGATTTTGTATTAAATGCATTTCAAGTTAAATGTGTTAAATGTATACATTAGATGTGTGCTTTAAAATGCATAAAATACGTTGAAATACATTAATGAACCATTAGTCTAATGCCTTTATTTTTGAAATGTCATGATGTCTTTTTCACTTACTTTAAGATTCCAATTCCTCGTTCTCAATGTGGACTGCTACCTGTTTAAATAGAATATGGGCCATTCAAAAGGTACTCGTGCACCTCTCTCTTTTTAAATGTCAAATTGCCTTGCACCTTCCATCCGGGAGCAAAATGATTCCCTTCTGTTTCTCACAAGCCACTCAATACTAAACACAGGGTCTTCACATGTCAGATAATTAATGGGCATATTTTAAAATTCTGGTTTAAACATCCCCAACCAGGACCAACAAATAACTTTTCAGGAATAAAACAGCTTTCTTTTCCATGGTTCAGATGCCCTTAAACTGTGAAATCTATTTCAGAGAATCAGCACAACTACCTCTCTAGGGCATGTGAAGAAGCACCTCCTACATGTCTGTCATGTCCTAGGATTTACTCATTAGAGCTGTATCCTCTCAAAGCAGAGAGAAGCCTTAGGCCCCACATATTCCAAACCCAGAAACTTGAGGCATGGTAACTCCAGGGACTTGGCCACAGTCGCACACGAGCGGCCTGACCAGGTTGGCACAGGACGGCGTACGGCTTCCTCTTAGAGATGAGCATCTAGGAGGCTGCAGGCACTTTTCTGGGGCCAACAATTTAAACTAAGCGGGCCTAGGGCAGGGGCCTGCAGAGAAGAAGCAGGCTGCCTAGGACTGGCTCTGAGGAGGAAAAGAGAGTGAGAGGGATGTTCAGGATTCCTTATAAGCCATTAAAAAATAGGCATTCAAGTTCAGTGCAGAGTGAAAGAGCACAGGCGATGGAGGACATCCGCCCACTGCGGCCTCTGCTGAGATACAGAGAGTTGGAACCCCCGGCATCTACTAGGAGCCCGGCCTGTGTTGAGGCAAATGACAGGCCAGTTGGGTTTGCTGGGGCTCTCAGCGAGGCGCAGAAAGGAGGCAGTTGTCCAAAGAGAGGACATTAGCAAAATCATTTCCTCAAACCAAGGTGAATCATAGCTGGAAATGCTCAGAGGAATTAACCTGTCACCTTGGTCTGAAGTTCAGCTGTGAGGGAGAGGACCCAGGGTTAGCAGAAGCCATCTGTCTGAGCAGACGCTGCTCTGAGCAGTGCGACCGTAAGCAATACAATCTTCAAAGAGTGACCAAGCCACAGACCTAACAGGAAACTCATGGGCAGGCCTCAGGGCCTTCCAGCCCCACCTGCATGCCATGCTGATAGTGATCACAGTCCAGGCTGGGAGCTTAAGACCAACACCTAGATTTCTGTGTGAGGCTTTTGAAAATGTTTATCTCCTTCTAGCATATAACTCACGGGTGCACAGACACACCCGGAGAATGCCATACCTCATTTACATGATTGCTACAATTTGATGTGTGTGCTTGATCATTAATAGTGAACATGTTAACTGACTTTCAAATAGTGGCTTGGGAGTCTTGGGGTTGTGACCCAGGGACCATCCTAGATGGTAGAATGGAAAATTGGGGAACATGGGAGCTGGGCTCCTGGATCTTCCCCTTCACCTCACTGCTCCCACACCCTCCACATACCACAACTAGAGCCACACTGCTTTTATCCATGTTGTATGTTGAGGCCTTACGTAATATTTTACTTAACAAAACAGAATACCTCTCAGGAGGTCATGGTTTAGATACAATGAATATAATTTTCTCTAGCCAGTTTAAACAGAAATCATTACAGAATTATTTAGAGAGATGAAGAAACGGACTCTAGGCTCCTCTTCCAGGAATGTCTTCCAAAGTCATACAAAAAACCTGGGCTGCCAAATAGAGCTGTTGATCTTGCCACAACCAGAAAGAAATCTATGCAACCAGGAAGCTCTTGCTGCAGCTGCCAGCTCCAGAACCGGACAGGCTGAAGTCTAAGTTGACTAAAAGCTCTCTAATGTGGAATTGTTGGTTGAGAAGGCCAGTTGCTTCTGTGCACCTAACTGCAAACGCCAGGAGCAACAGCTTTGAGTAGTAGTCTTAGCAGGAGGTGAGGCTGGGCACTGCCGTTCAAACATCAGCAGAAATGGCACTGCGGGTTCCACCTTCTGATCCAAGCCTTTTGCTTTAGATGTTCTCCAAGTGAACACTATTAAGATGAGAGATGAGACAATAGCAGAGCACAGAGGTCAGTAAGTCAGTGCCTTAGACTTAGAGTTTTCTCTAGAAGACCATTTGGCTGTGGTTACTTGCACATGGGCCTGAGTAGAAGCCATCTTGGTCATAGGGTGACCTTGGAAAGAAATAGACTAAGGCCACTTATACTGGGTTTTATACCACTTGCAACCAGACTTAATATAGACAAATATAAACTCCAAAACATGCCTTAGAAACAATGCCCTCTATAATGAAATTGACTTTAGAATAATTATCTCAAACAGCCTGTGAAAATGAATGAATGGACAAGTGGCTCTTTAGAAATATGTGTAGCACAAGAATTAACTTTAAAACTTTCAAGATTCTGTTACTTTGTTTATTTCTATTCAATGATCATGTGCACTGTGTACAGAATGAAGTTAAAAGATGAATGAAGGTTTTACTAAGATATGACCCATAACTGGCACTTTTTAACAAATATACACGAAATTAAGCATTTATTTGAGGGCTGTCCTCTTGGAAGTAAGCATGTAAGTAGATCACACACTTTCTATAATGATATTTTTGAATCAAACCACTTTTAAAAATTCATCTTTAGAAACTCACAAACCAAGGTAGAAAATAGCCAATACCCTTACATTTTCATTCTTTAGTCATGTATTTTTGAAATTACCAGAGTCACTTGAGCTAAGCCTGATGAGTAATGGTGATAACCAAGTTGATTTTTTTAAAAATCAAAAGCGAGGTGTGATGTTAAAGTTGCATTTGTTTTCTGCAGTGAGTTGCAAACCAGTTACTGACTTTTCAAGTTGTTTCTCTTGATTTTCAGTGTTACCATATTATTACACTCAAATTGTGAAACTTAGAAAAAGTATGGCCAAGAGAGAATTCAAGCTTATATTAAGTGAAGAGGCACAAAGAGAGCACTTGGCTGCTTTAACGTTACATTTTAAAATGTTTATTATTAAACATTTGAAACATACGAAGTAGAAGGAAATATGCAACAAATATTCATATATCTACAATCCACACTCAAAGACTGTTAACATTTTCCCATATTTAATTTATCCCTATCTTTTTTTCATACTGGACATTTTTGTTATAGGTTTCTTGCATCG